TATCATTTTTAATTTTTTTTTTTATTATGCATTTGTTATAATTATTAGTTCGGTTTTCTTTCCGTGTTATCTCTCCGCTTTGCTTGTGTGGACTATGCTTGAATTTGTGTGTTGGAAATGGCTTCGATTATATAACATGTATATATAAGCCTAGGTGTGTGTGTGTGTGTTTGTGTGCGTGCTTATGTAACCCTGCCAGCCTCTAGCACAGCAGTCTAGAGACCACGTTATCTTAGTTTGGTAGAATAGTTTCTTTTTTCTTTTCTTTTTTTTTTTTCGATAAAAACTTCAAATTTTCACATTTGCACTGTATTTGATTTATGAGGATTTTAAAATCAGAAACGGGTTTTATTTGAAATTGCAACCTGGAAAAAAGATACTTAGAGAAAATCACATGTAGATTCCCTGATTGTATATTATTATAGATGTTTTTGCTTCCTTTGATTTGCATCCATGTTATGAACGTATTATAATTTACAATAGAAAACCCAATAGGCCTAATGGAGAACTTTTGAAAAAGCAGAAAATCAGAAATACTGTAGCTATAGATACCACGTCCAGATGCATGATCTGCTAGTTGTCACTAGACAGTGGTGTGTATCGAAAAATAGTTCTGTTGATGAAGGAACCAATATTGACATATTTGAGCACACTAGCGTGCCATACAATTGGTTTTTGTGTCTACAGAAATGAGTACAGATTAGTTACTTTGTTTTATTATTATTGAGCAATATTATGATCCAGATATAAAAAAACAGGAAAAGAAACAAACAATAACATACAAACAGACAGAGGAATACACATTTAATTGGGAGAAACAGAAACAGTTGGATTTTTTTTCTTGTTTTTTTTTTTTGTAATCCATTTCGTTCTCATTGTTTGAAATAATCGTTTTGATTAAAAAGCCACAAAAATATAAAAATATTACTGTGTCTGTGTCTGTGGTGTAGGGGTTAGACACTTTGCTGTCTCACACAGGAGGCCTAAGGTCGAATACCGAATGGGGAGAATTCTCATCGAATGTCTCGGACTTTCTGCTGTGAAGTTGTTGCCCTCTCAGCCGGGGTTGGCCCTGACAGGCAGAGCCTATCTCCTAAATGATCGATTGAGTTGTATCGATAGCGGTCCCCCCCCCCCCTCCCCGGAAAAAAACTGTATTAAAAAGAATGACAAAATAACAAACTTGACTTCGGGGTTTCTGCTGAAAAAAAAATGTTTTGATTACAATCATGAAAATGAATGTTGTCTTTGAAATGTTAGCCGTCTCATGGACGAGTCAGCTGTTAGAACTAAGGCATAATGGTGGTTGTATTGAAATCCACTTGCCCCCTTTCTCTTTCTCTATCTCTCTGTTACTCATTTTTCTCTAACTCTCTTTCCTTTTAAGTGTCTTTTTTGTCTGTCTGTCTGTCTGTCTGTCTGTCTGTCTGTCTGTCTGTCTGTCTGTCTGTCTGTCTGTCTGTTTGTCTGTCTGTCTGTCTGTCC